TGGAATTACAGGTGTGAGCCACCGTGCCTGACCGCTCTCTTTGATTCCAGATAATTACAAAAAGTAAAGGCCAAATCAATCTCTGCACTTGGAACTCGAAGCTGGCCTGAGACCAATGAGAGGGTGTTGCTGTGTCTTCCCTGATGGGTAGCAGCTTTCCTGACAAAACCCAGGGCCCCTCCTCATCCCATCTGCCCCTTCCATCCTAGGCAGCAGCACCAGAGGCTCCAAAAGAACCTACCTTATCCTACAACAAAAAATTTTTTGCAGAATTTACTGATGCTCTGCCCTTTTCCTTGAGTCTTGGGCAGCTGACTCTGATTCCTGGTTATTGAGTGGTCCTGGCTGCTCAGCTGGGCTTACTTAGCTAACCCCAAGCATAGGGTAGAAGTCATAGCACAACTGCCAGGTTAATTACTAAGCAATCAATGTGTGTGTGTAACATGTGGGTGTTATGCGCATGTATGTGTCTCCAAGACGCTTGCATCCCACTCTGCATGCATTACAGGACTAGGTGTGGACAAATCTACAGAAATGGCTTCTTCTAACCACATGAAGATGCAATTTCCCCCCAAATTTATCTTTTCTGGTTTGCCCAACGAGGAAAGTAATAGCTTTCATTTTTGCCTAGCTGAATCCAGGGGTCGGAAAAGCACCACGTATCCCTGGCTGGTTTCCTGGCAAGGACAACCAGTCAGTATGGAAGGAAAAGAACTATGCTCACCCTTGGCTTTCCTCAGAAAATAACATTTGGCCCCAATGATCAAGAAAGCAATGATCACTCCGATGACAACCACTGCAATAAGTCCTTTCTTCCATGCGGCAAGAACGACTGAAAAACAAAACAAAAAAAATTTTTTTTTTTTTTATATAGGCTCTTCCTCTACCAGGAAGACATAACATCAGGCTTAAGCAACAAAAGTCAGACTGATTCTCACAGCTCTTGTAATTGGCAGCTTGCCAGATACCTCTGAGGGGTTCTGCACTCAGAGCTGGTGCAGAAATGATTGTTTCTGCTACAAATAGAGGTCAGCTCTGGTCCTCAAGGAGGGAACAAACCAGCTTTGCTGGGGTAGACTTTTTTTTCTTTCTTTTTTGAAACAGGGTCTCACTCTGTCACCCAGGCTAGAGGCTGATCACAGCTCACTGCAGCCTCAACTTCCCGGGCTTGAGCAATCTTCCCACCTCAGCCTCCCGAGTAGCTGGGACTACAGGAGCACACTACCACACTCGGCTATTTTTTGTTGGTTTGATTTTTGAGGCAGAGTCTTGCTCTGTTGCCCAGGCTGGAGTGCAGTGGGGCAACCTCTGCTTACTGCAACCTCTGCCTTCTGGGTTCAAGTGTTTCTCATGTCTCAGCCTCCCAAGTAGCTGGGATTACAGGTATCAGCCACTGTGCCCAGCCTATTTTTGTACTTTTCGTAGAGACAGGGTTTCACCATGCTGCCCAGGCTGGTCTCCAATTCCAGGGCCCAAGTGGAGTAGACTCCTTTTTGGCGTGTATGTTCAGTCCTCTTCCTCTCCAGGAAACCACCCCCACCCACATAAGTGGGCTCCCCAACCATGTCTGTTCTGCGTGACCCAATCCACTTGGCCACAGGCGGTCTGTGGGTAGATGTCTGACCCAAGGTGACTCAATGGTGAGTCTTCCAAGAATTTGTAATTGGAACAATGTGACATTCTTCCAATTCCTTATAATAATCAATTCCTCTTTTTTACTTAATTCTAGTGGGTTTCTGTCACTTGCAACCAAGAGCCTGGAGGACGTTAAGTCTCCTAGCCTTCAGTCACAAGAGCTAAACTCCCCCCAACTCCCTCTTACAAGGGGTGTGTTTTCTGGTCTTGCCCTTGGGAGCCCACAGCACAGCTTGCTGTGGAGACCCTGACTCACCTCTGACTGTCAGTATTTTGCTTCTGGGGACACTGGAGGCATGGTTGGCTCTGTTGAAGGCTGTGCAGTAATACTCCCCCTCCTGCTCCTTGCTAGCCTTCGGCTTGGTCCAAAATTCCTGGGTGGCATTCAAGGTCCTTTGGTGGAAGGGTTTGCCTTCCTTTTCCCTGTAAAACCTATAGGTGATGGGACCAGATCCTTCATTCACGGCGCATTGCAGCACAATGTCCTCTCCAGACTCCACAACCTTATTTGACAGGATAGAAATCTGGACCTCATCCACTGGGGCTGAAAAAGCAGGAAAAGGATTCACACTGAGCAAAGAAGGGCAGAGGAAGAGGAACATGAGACAGCCACCACTCAACTTTTTTTTTTTCCTCTGAGACAGAGTCCCACTCTTGTCACCCAGGCTGGAGTGCAGTGACGTAATCTCGGCTTACTGCAACCTCTGCCTCCTGGGTTCAAGCAAATCTCCTGCCTCAGCCTCCCAAATAGCTGGAATGACAAGTGCGCACCACCAGGCCCAGCTAACTTTTTGGATTTTGTTGTTGTTGTTGTTGTTGTTGTTTTAGAGATGGGGTTTTGCCCTGTTGGCCAGGCTGGTCTTGAACTCCTGACCTCAAGTGATTTGCCCACCTCAGCCTTCCAAAATACTGGGATTACAGGCATGAGACACCGTGCCAGCCACAAACAATCTTGACCCACTGCCTTCTCTAGCTATCGGCCATTTTTTCTCCTTTTTCCTTTATGCTTTGACACCCTTATTTCCCACTTTCTTGTTACCCCTGAAATCTGACTGCACTCTTGTGTAGTCACGATCTTGTGACACTGCACTCTATCTCAAGTTTTGAAGAAACTGGGAAGGTCACCTGATTCCCCAACCAATGTCCCTGAGTCCCCTGCAGATTAAATTCAGTGGTAGATGCTCTTCCTCCAGGCTTCCAACCTCGGGCTCTCCACAGCTTTGCTGCTGCCCAGGTCTTACTGTGGAACTCAGCTTTTTCTGGGCTTCTGGGCTTCCTCATGACTCTGATTCTCTTCCTTTCTTACCTGGCACCCCTTTCTTATTCACTGGTTATTCTTTGTTTTGCCCTGAAGTATGAACTTTTTGCAAAATTCAGTCCTCCGTTTTCCGTCCCCATTCTCCTCCTGGGTGATTTCATCTACATGCAGAGCTTCTGTCTCCGAGCCACTGATGCCTAAACCTATGGCTCCAGCCCAAGTTACTTTCCTGAACTCCAAGTTTCCCTTTTCACCTGGGCATTTCCACCTGGAAGCCCAGCCAGCCTCCCTCCCTGTAGGTCCAAGCAGAACTCGGCTACCTCCTGTATCTGCTTTTCCTAGCTCCATCCTCAACTACCAAAATTCGGATCCTAAATTGTCTTCCCAAGTAGACTTTCCTTCTAGTGTGAGAGCAGATGGTCAGCAGATGGTATTGTGACTTATGAGTCACTCTGCTGTGAGTGCAGGCTGTGGTAAGACAATGGAAGAAGCCACGCTCCGGGCCTGGGACACCAGTGGGCTCAAATCCCAGTCCTACCACCCACCAGCTATCTGCCCTAAGCCTCACCTGTGTCATGATAGAACAATGACAATGCTATTACTGGTCTTCTGCGGTTATTGTGAGTTTCCATTGGAGCAATTTACTACAGTACTTCACACAGGGTTGCATACATGGTCAGTAAATGTGAGCCACTAATATCGACCCAGTTTAAACCAACAGCTTCACATGGGCTTCTGCATTAGCCTGTAACGTGCCATGAGGTCTGAAGTCCCCATATCTGCTCCCTGATCCAGTCATCAGGTGGATCTTTCCGAGAACTCATTTGCATCCTGTCCTTCCTTCCATCTTTTGGCTTTTCACTGTACGCAGGACAGTTCCCTACTCCTGAGACTGGCACCTGACGCCCTTCACACTTAGGCTCACCCACTTTTTCAACTCATATCCAGTGATTCTCCATTCCCAACGTCCAGCCTTTGTTTCCAGCCATCTGATTTGGCCACAGTCCTTTTTTTTTTTTTTTTTTTTTTTTGAGATAGAGTCTCACTCTGTCACCCAGGCTGGAGTGCAGTGGCACGATATTGGCTTACTGCAACCTCCACCTCCTGGATTCAAGCGATTCTCCCGCCTCAGCCACCTGAGTAGCGGGGACTGCAGGCACCCACCTCCACACTGGGCTAATTTTTGTATTTTTAGTAGAGATGGGGTTTCACCATGTTGGCCAGGCTGGTCTTGAACTCCTGACTTCAATGATTTGCCTGCCTTGGCCTCCCAAACTGCTGGGATTACAGGCGTGAGCCACCGTGCTTGGCCCCCTCCTTCTCCTATTTTTCCCACAGTCCCTGGGCATGAACGAATGCCCCAAGCCCACATGATTTCTTCTCATAGCACAGCAACTTACCTATCACCTTCACCCTCAGAACTTCACTTAACATTTTGGCGTGGGAATGGCAGTTATCCGCAACACACTGGTATTCTACGTCTTCAGTGGGGTTGTCTTTGAATACCGCAGGATCAGTTGAGTTCTTGGTACTATTCTCCAAAATTTTGCTTGTTTTCAAAAGGTGATAAGAAATAGGTGAAGTTCCACTGATTGATTGGCAACTGACTTCGATGGTCTGTCCTTTTATGACCTCAAACTGGGCGTCATGAGAAATCCTGGGCTGGGAGAGCATTTCTAAAACAGAGGGAGAAATAATCCAAAAGGCACTGAAGGTACAAGCAAAGCATCCAGCCCAAGAGTTTCTCCTCCAAAGCCTGAGCTTTGCTTTCTGTCCCTGCTGTAATTTCAAATGCCTACCTGCCTTATTTACCTTTATAGGACACCTATGAGACTGACAGTGTGTGTGTGTGTGTGTGTGTGTGTGTGTGTGTGTGTGTGTGTATTTGAGACAGAGTCTCACTCTGTTACCCAGGCCGGAGTGCAGTGGTGCAATCACAGCTCACTACAACCTCCCGGAATCAAGCAATCCTCCCACCTCAGCCTCCCGAGTAGCTGGGACTATAGGTGCACACCACACCTAGCTAATTCTTTATTTTTTGTAGAGACAGGGTCTTGAACTCTTGGACTCAAGTGATCCTCCCACATCAGCTGCCCAAAGTGCTGGGATTATAAGTATGAGCCACCACACCTGGTCGAAGATATATATGTGTGTGTGTGTGTGTGTGTGTGTGTTTGTGTGTTTTGAGACAGAGTCTTGCTCTGTCACCCAGGCTGGAGTGCAATGGTGCAATCTCGGCTCACCGCAATCTCTACCTCCTGGGTCCAAGGGATTCTCCTGCCTCAGCCTCCCGAGTAGCTGGGATTACAGGTGCCTGCCACCACACCCTGCTAACTTTTGTATTTTCAGTAGA